TATTTTATTCTTAGATATTCTAGAAAATATTAGCACTACTACTATTTTAAATATATAAGTTATAGTAATAGATTTTATTTAAGAATTAGGTTATTTTTGCCTAGACATCTATATAATAGTCTTAGAACTAGATATATACTACTAATATATAAGACTTAGCTAAGTTATATCTAGAGTTAATATACTATAGTGTCTTTAGAATTATTACTATTAAAAGAAGTATTAGACTTATCTAATAAAAGTAAAGAATCTAGTTCTAGTACCTAGTCTTATTAGACTAAACCTAGAAGTATCTACTTTATTAGCTACTTACTAGCTCTTCTTCTTTAGAATAATTAATTGCGTTCTATATAGATATTAGTAGCTCTAGTATTAATACGCTATTAGATACTTACTTAAAGTTAAAGTTTATCTTATTTTTAAAAATAAGTTTCTCTAGATAGATTTAAATTAAGTTAAATTCTAATATAGCTTAACTTAATAACTCTATACCTAAATAAGATAGTATACTATTTATATAAATACGCTTATTTAATATAGATATAACTAAGATAAATTACTTAGTTAAGGCTAGTATTATTATAAATAAACTATAGAACGTAATACTTAATCTATAGTTACGTAGTATAAACTAGCTCTAGCTTAACTAGAATAAGTCTTACTACTATAGTAATAAAAATACGTAGAGTTTAGGTAACTAAGTAAAAAAGCTAAATTATAACTAAGATAAATTAAACGCTAATAAGAGTAGTAGAGATAGAAGTATAAAATAGTAGACTACTAGATATAGAGGTACTACTTCTTAAAACGTAGGTAGAGCTAAATATAATTACGCTAGGTATAAACCTAGTATATACTCTAATATAGAAGTATTAACGCTATATATATATATATACTAAGTATAGATAAGAAGTAGTAGTTATAGTAGATTAGAACTAAGTTAAAACTAGATTAGAACTAAGTTAGAACTAAGTTAGAACTAAGTTAGAACCTAGTTAAAACCTAGTTAGAACTAATAGCTAGTTAGTCTACTAAGTAGTAACCTAGTTCTATCTAACTTTATAAATAGAAGCTGCGTAGCTACTATAGGTAGTCTAAGTATAATTAGAACTATAGCTTTACCTTTTAGACGCTATTATAATATTAAATTATAACTAAGTTAACTTCTAGTTATAGTAATAAGCTAGACTAATAGTAGTAGACTATTATCTTATATAATATTAGCTTAATAATAAGAATAGCTATATAAGTATACTTATTATAATATAATATAAAGCTACGTAGTAAAGCTAGGTATACTAAAATATAACTAAGTTAAATATAGTATATAGAGTATTAGTAGAGTAACAAAAGTGTAAAACTAAAAAGCTAGCTAACTTTAGAATTTCTAAGGTTAGCTTACTAGTGTCTAATTTTATCTAATTAAAGGTTAGCTAACTAAAGTCTAGAGGTTAGCTAAACTACACTGTCTTCTAATAGCGCCTTTTAGTCTAGCAAACTTCCCCTTCTAGGCGCATCGTGAGATCAGCGTTGCTCTTCAGTACACTAACTCTTCTGCGAACTCATCTCAACGTCACATGCTCCATTCGGTCTTTTTCACAAAAACTAAGTCTAGGCCTTGCTCACAACTTATATTCCGGCGCAATATTCACGACTAATTAGAAACGAACTCTACCACCACGTAGGTTTGGCACACATGTACCAAATTCTACTCACCATCACTATGGCGCAGTTAGAGTACTTCTCGCAAAAGGTAGCCGGAATCGGCTGCTTAGACAAAAGGCCCGTGTGTTTTTCCTCCAAGATTGTAGTGCTGACGGGCTACGTATCTTCAGCTCCGAAAATTGCACGACTGAACACGCCCAGGGCCCAAACTTCCCCGGATTACGGGCTTGTCCCCCCAAAGGTTATTCCCGCCGCAGTGGTCGTGGCTGTGCATTGTGAGATATGTCTTTGCCCAAAACTGATCAGTGCACAGTTTCAGCTCGCGCTTATCTTACATAACCACACAAGGCAGTCAGCGGGGGTGTTCGTCGTGCGATTAGGCGTAGTTATGCTTGCACGAACGACGCTCGATTGGCTAGCTGATTCATCTTCTGCACAATTGGGGTAAGGCGTGCAACGAGTGATCTTGGAGCATACCAGTTTGGTCACTAAGCCACACTTGCACACTAGCGTTGCCGCCTTACCGTCTTGACGAGCGCGAAGTGGCTGCCGAGTAACCGCCGCCTCTGTCATACATATGGGCCGCATGGTTGTCATGCCGCTGTCAGACTTATAATGTGCTAGATCCCACCTTTCTCCTTGACTGACTTCTGGTTCTCCCGTGTTTGGAGTGTTGGTACTACGACGACTAGCGAATCGCGACTATACTTGCGTACAAAAGGCACAGGCATCCGGCCTCCACTTGAGATCTATCTATCAGACTTCACGACGTGATGAAAGAGTTGGCGTGCGACAGAAAGATCATTTCGCAGAACGAAATGCACACGACTGCCCGACCCCAATGCAGATATACGCCACGATACCGAACGATCCTACCCACACTCCTGATCCTGCTATGTATACCGATCTTCTTCTATCAACTAGTACCGAAATATACACACGCCACCGACGAGTTCATATCATCTCTCACGAACACGCTTCGCCCACAATCGACGAGTACCTTCTGCACAAAAGAAGTCGGAACGCCGCACTGCTGTGCCGTATACCTCGCTGCCGCACCCTGCCTAGACGAATGCAGGAAACAACACATGGACCGCGAAACTCTCTCTGTAACAGCACGATATGAAAGTTGCGCAGACGAATGCCTGGTCGAATACCAAGACACATGCAAGAAGGCGCAACATCCACAAACATCCCTCAAGTCGTCACAGCATGATTGAGCTATCCGCATCAACAAAATACAAACAATTATTTACATGAGAACCTCCATCACCTTGTACAACGACACAAATATCACACCCCGCATGTATGCTCCAAAGAAAGATGAGCCAAGAGGCTGGAACAGTGAAGAGGCGGTGCAGGGCGGGTACGCCAAGACTGAGGCGCAGGGGATGACCGGCTAGAACGGCACTGCACGGCCACTCTTGAGCTAAGTGATCTCGTGAACCGCGGCCGAGGCAGAAGGGGAATTTCATCTCAGTAATCTTGTGTTTCAGGCCATCACGTTGCTGGGGCGTCGAGAGGTGGGGGCTGGGTTACTGTGGTGATGCGATATGGGGGATGAACTGGGATGCAGTAGGAGTTGGACTAGAAGAAGCAAAGGGAGGAATGTGGCTTAACACCTTGCTAGGAATCCGTGCCAGAGAAGAGATTGGAGAGATATAGGCATGTCCATCACCTTTCATATGTAACAATACAGCACAGGAGCTGCGAGAAGCGAATACGTCTGCTCAGCAGAGGACATAGAATATTACCAACATCACCTATACTCAACAACCTGCTTATGTTTACACCTCGGATTCCGGACTCTATATCTCCACAGCTCTCCCGTTGTGCAATTTCCCACTTTGTAATTAGCAAGCACCTCAGGTCTTCGGCATCGCCGTGAACATCGCGATGAGATCTAGGATGCAGTTCCTGGCAAGCTTTCCATGCCGTGCTCATACGATTAGCGCATGATATCCAATACTCCGCTGAGATAGATTCGAGAAGTTAGCGATGCCATGAAAAATACGTTCTGTAATGGTGTTCAATGCTCAACCTTCCCGCGGAGGAGGCAGCGCGTCTTTTTCGCGCTTAGTGCCATTCTTAGCGCGTGACGTCAGGGTTTACTGCAACACCATCTCCCATCATCGCTTCATGCCGTCTCTGCATCAATGTTTATCGATACGGCATTAATACATCACCACCTAGCATTATCAGCATGACTAGATCATGTCGTTAGCAAGTCAAGGGCGCGCCTTCCGCGTGTGGTGACGCCTGCCCCAAATGCGCTCACCGTCAGGCCTCGCTTTAGACATACGACAGCACAGCGGTATGACTAACGAGAGTCTGCGCATCTTGGACTGTCGCTAGCAGAAATTCAATCGTGGAAAACCCTGAGAATATCTTCTTGCTCATTACGATCGGTGTTGCAGTCTTGGTTTCCACGCAAGCCAATGGGCACGCTCACTATCGGTTCAAGCACACGATGCCGAGCATGAACTGGACAGAATGCATCACCGCTAATATCACCCAGACTGGGATAAGGTATAATATGCTACGTTCGTGTAAAATTAAGATTAAAGGTTCACACCTAGCCGTGTTGGAGGTATTACCAGAGTTCTACCCTGGGTTGAATAGCGGTCACGGATGTCGGAGATGTAGCGGGTATGGTCATTTCACTTGTAAGTCATGCGTATCTTCAAGATGAATATTCGGATACTGAATCGCGCTATAAGGACAGTATGAGAGTCTGATCTCTACAGCAACTCTTCAATTTGTCATTATGTGGCTATAGTAAGTTCGCAGTTCGTAATGCAACGGTCCGTCGTGCTGAATGCTCTCTCTCAATACTGAGACTCAGGTTTTAAGCAAGACTGTCATTGGGTCTATGCAAGTTCGGAGACCTTTCTCTCACCGTTGTGAACTTCACGTTCTACCAGCATTAATTTTGCAGCCTCACCTGGCATTTCAAGGCGCTCAATTTTGACTGCGCACGCTGTCCTAGCTCCAACTTCACCTGCGTAACTAGCTGACTGTTACACACAAAGATACGGCACTTGAGTGACACCTACATTACCCGGGTCGCGCGCTCACCGTTCATCTGCGCTACGCTCCTCACAAATCCGCCCAATAAGACAACTTCGGTGCCTTTTCACCACTCATCGTTCACCATTCACAATCATCATCGTTATCATCATCATGAAGACTAACGCTACAGCCTCTGGCAAGATGCCAAAGAGGGCACCTCTTGTCCCCAAACTCCAAGTTCCAAACACACCGCACCCCACGCACTCGCAACGATGGACCCTCCCCTCTGCGGCAGTTGCGACAATTTTCTCGCAGAAGTCGACATGCAGAAGACTACCGGAAGATACTGGGTGAACTGCAAGAGATGCCGGGACGAGCACACAGCGGCAAGGCGAAAGCGCCGAGCACAAGAAGCCTTTGACGATGAATTCATCGACTATGACTATTTCGATTACGTCGAAGGCAGATATAGAGAACTTTCGCAAGAGACTGAGTACCGCTACCCGAGCACGGCGCAGTTCGCCGGCTCCAGACCCCAACTTGAGCCTGAGACGCGCGTTGTTCAGCATCCGAGCGCGGCCATTAAGAAAGAACCTAGACTGGGTAACGAGACACACGTAACTGTTAAGAAAGAGAGGGAGAAAGATGTCAGTGGCCCGGACGTTGCTCAAGAAGAGTGGTACGATGCCTTGGAGGAGCCGAAGCTCAGCTTACGTGAGTGTTCGGTATGCGGAGATTCCTCGCCTGTTCAAGACTATCCAAGCTTAATGGCCTGTGAGCACATCCCCGATGTCTGTCAAGAGTGTTTCATCCAGTGGCTGGATCAGCAGATGCAAGGATCGGAACGAGCGTCCTGTCCGTCCAGTGGATGCACCAACGCCATCACCCACGACGACGTGCAGAGATACGCTTCTCGAGAGATGTATACGCGGTTCGACGAGCTCTCTATGCGACGTCTTCTCGGTGAGGAACCTGGCTTCATGTATTGTCTGGCCAAAGGATGCACTTCTGGCCAGATCCACGACACCGGTGTTGAAGGTCCAATCTTTCGTTGCGCCGCCTGCGACTTCCGAATGTGCACGGCTCATCCGACACCAGTACCCTTCCACGAACATGAGTCTTGTGCGCAGTATATCAAGCGCATCGAAGATGAAGCTTCGAATACAAGGAAGAAACGTGAGGATGACGCCAGCGCTGCCGAAGTGAAGCGAGCATGTATCCAGTGTCCAAAGTGCGGGGTCAACATACAGAAGAACAACGGTTGCGACCACATGACGTGTAAGTACCAACCACCCAGATGTTGTTTGTTCAATTACTAACCTAAGCAGGTCGGCATAAGCGATGCAGGTTCCAATTCTGCTACATCTGTCGCGCACCTTATCAAGGTGCTCAAGGCATCAACATCATTGGGAACACAGCGCATCAGCGTCACTGCCGTTATCATTCATCTAGGCTCCCTGGCTACGCTAGAAATCGCTGATCGAGTTTCGGAACGTCGTCTGGCTTTTGTATGTGTGGAGGCTTTCAAGCTTGCACGCAAGAGATCCAAGCCTGATAGTTCATATGGAATGATGGCTGCATGAAGAATGCGAAGAATATGGATCGGTCATGGAGATTCATCTTGAGACTTTAGTTCCGCGCTGCAGTCTAGCAAGTTGAAAAAAAGAGTGTATTGATTTTCATTGTCTACAGTCGTGTCTCGCTCTCCCTTTGCATACATATACTTGATTGCACACTCTTCAGCCGCATCATTAGCAGAGGGTCTCTACTGCTTGAAATGACCGACACAGTCTAGCAAGATGGCTGCAGGACTCTGGCCAGCGAATCACCTCGCGAGCGCACTTACGAGAAGACCAAAAGCAACACTTGCGAACCCGTCAAGCCACCCAGATATTGGACTTCTTTCGAATCCATATCATCTACGCATGCAAGCCTCTCGACCAACTTTGTACCGTGTGTGTGTGTAGATACGCGCCCATTGGAAGACTTCCTCCGCCCACGGGAGTATGAGCATGACCCTGACGCATGTAGGGATTACATCGGCAAATGGCTAAACATCAAACGGAGAAGCACGGAGAACACTCGTATTCCCTGTCCTTCTACGGGGTAATCTGCGGTGTTTGCATATGAAGATGCCTGTGACTTCGCGGTCGCCGTACTGTTCAATCCGGGAGCCTTTGCCTTTTCGCTTCTATGCGAGTATTAGTATGTGTAGCTACGATAAACTGACGCTTCAAAATTTTCTCCACAACCAGCCCGACTTCCGCTTTGCGTTCGGTCAGAGTATCCTGTTGGCCAGCTACATGAGGCGGAAGATATCAGCATCTTGGCCTGCGCAACATGTAGCCATCGTAGTTGCGTAAACCACAGCATTTCTTACGGTGGACTATGCGAACAGTACGACGCTAAAAAGGCCTACAAAAATAAGGAACTCTTGGATATGAGAAAGACTACTACAGATTTCGACAAAGAGACGAAGAAGTTTCCCAGCTGCGAAACAAATCTCATTTCGAGGAGGGCAGAAGTATAATGCAACTGGTACGAGAAGCGCAGCGGCAAAATGAGCGGAAAAACTGCGTCTGCCCAGTGTCTGTCGAGTACTCCGATCCCTTTTCTCAGATTGGCATGAGTACGCCATCCCCGAACGACTAGGTATACGATGAGTCTTCCTCCTGATTTACGGCAGCTGATGGCACCATCGTGACTGTATCTATAACTGTACATATAGTACCACTCTTCGATATAATCGGTGGGAGGCTCATAGGCCACTGGGTGAACCTCGTCATTGTCTGCCTCACCGTTCAATACCGTGCCTAGCGAATCGACTATATCTCGCGCGCAATATAACCAACTATGATGACAGGGAGTCAGAGCGTAGCACAAGAGGGACAGCAAGCGTTCATGGCGCACGTGTATGATATGCTCAAAAACATGCATCATCCACGTGTCACTCACACTGAGAGATATGTTGCATGCTTATCGCTGACTCTCAGCAGTATGACAGCTTTCTCAACGCAGGAACGGGAAACCAACATGTATTCAAGTCGCACGATCGACGTGCTCATACCTTTGACTGATCATGATCAACACATTCATCGGTCTCTCACTAGAGTCAACAGTTATTTCGTGGAGTCATGCTGGGTATAAAACGGAGGCGCATCAACACCAGTATAGATGCACAACAACAATCTTCAGTATACCATTACTTCCGTCTACTTCACAGATATATCCTTCAAAACAGCTATTCAACCGAAATAACACGTCACCTCAACATCAACATGTCGTCCGCACAGCCTGGAAAGGATGAGCTCGCCTACTTGCGTAGGTTCGAGGCTCAGGTGCACAACAACAAGAAAAGAGCAGAAGAGGCCAAAGAGAAGGCCGATGATGCCAAAAAGAAGACCGAGGAGGACAACAAGGCTAAAGAAGAGAAAGCCACTGAAACCTCGAAGGCCAGCAGCAGCGGCGGGACGTAGTGCAGTGGTTGGAAAACAGAGATGTCAACAAGCAAGTCAAGCAAGTCCAATCTCTTATCTGTTGCCCGTCTATATTCTAATTCGACTAGCCTGCCACCTCAAGCAGAACGGTCGCTCACGGGGCAAGCAATAAAAATTGCTTGTTGATATTTCCGATGGAAGGTAACGAGGCACATGGGGTGTGTATGGTCGTCGAGGCATGTAATTTGTAACCAAGCTTCACTGGTTGAAGAGCTCCAAGATTACAGATTGTGGGTTTCCTTAACACATTCATTATGTCAGATCTTGTAATAATGTTTTCATACCTAATTGAACACGGATCATGTTCCCACTTCTTGAGTAAATTTACCGTGCGTTGATACCTCTAGTATCGTTACCACCTTACGAGATTTCGAATAGCTGGCAGGGTCACCGAGAATTCGTCACGAGGCTGCGCGGATAGAGCAACCGATAAAGCATCGCTGTGGTGTACATAAAGTGTGTATGTATCGTGTTGGCTAGCAGAGGCCACTGGTCCATGGATGCCAATGGGGCTGGAATTGATCGACATGGGTGGGGCTCAATGGCGTCACGCGTCGCGGCGCGTTCTTTCCTACACCAAGCCCGCCTTCCATACCTCACGCAGCTGTGTACACATTGCGACATCTCAGTTGATACTCTTTGGTCTTGCGATTCGCCACCCTCGGGAGACGCAACATATAGTTGGTCCGCTAATCTTTCGCCAGCTTCTCGCCGACGCGATGCTCCAATCCACGCGAAATGCTACGCGCAGGCCGTAGCAGTCTGCGTGGCGCGCCTATCACGGAACTTCGAGAGATCACGCGACCCTTGAAGCGATGAAGCCTTAGTCGTATGCCACACGACACCATATGTTATATTTGGGACAGGCTGGTCAGTCGACAGCAGCGTCCGCATACGTCAAACGCGTAATGTCCCACAACATCTGACCCGATAGTGTTGCGTACCAGCTACCCTACCAAGTTGGAGATCTTCTAGCTTGACTTTTCATTCAGGGTAATGGTTCATTATTTCACTGTCCTAATGTTAACGTCATAGCGCAACAGGCCCACGAATAACCTTCGGCAAACCGCGAGATACCCAAATCTCCGCCGTCTCGATGCGCGATACCCAACCGAAGCCGCTACACAAACTGGCGTATGCGATCGATATCCTCTCCGCGAGACAGTCACCTTCATGCAAATCCGCGCGATACTGCCTTGGTTACGGGCCAACGGAATGAACAAACCCATGGCTGGGCCGACCTAAGATGCACATGTTGACATCTAGGTCAAAGCATAGAGACTAGTCAATACCCATATTAGGCATCATTCTTTTAGGTCACAGCGTGCCTGCTATGCACGACATTCTCAGGGTGTCTGGACATAGATACTTCACCCAAGTGGTGTAGGGACGTGGAGGAAAAGACCAACTACACAAGCTTGAGTCAAACACCCCTATGCGCATCCGTTCAAAATCGCCAGACTACACGGCCAACGTCACCCCAGTACTCCGGCCATTGCTGCTGCATCTCGGCTTCTTTGAGGATGTGCAGACAATTTGACGCGCATCCAAAAAGAGATCAACAATACTCATCTACTTTCCTTTATCGTATGTGTTTAGAGCGTGAACAAAGCCGTGACGCAACCAGTATTGCTTCACTCACCAAACTCCATCCTGATGCAGAATGACAAGTGCACGGGTTACTTGTACTAGTAAGAATGTACGCCATATCCCTGTTGCAAGGAACAAAGAGTGGCGCATTACTGTTGTTGAAGCGGATATAAAAGCGACCCTATGATGTGACAGTGATGCCTAAGTATTATCTTCAGGACATCTCACGCTGATGAGGAGCTTTTCTAAAATATGAGCGGTTGTGGACGTGCCTAAACTGACACTGGAAAGGGTCAAGAGTAGCGGTCTGCCGAAGCTTATTAGCCTCCTGCATATCCAGCCTGAATACCATTTGGGCGCTTCTATTAATTGCTCTGATCACGCGACACCCTGTGTCAAAGTTGTGATGGCGTCGAGGTCGACCTGGTTGCTGTTTGATGAAAGATGCGTTGACAGCACTGCGAGCGCGATTTCCTCGAGAGTGATGACGTCATGGCTATCTCATCAACCCAGCCCTGGAGGTACCTTCAACACGACAACGGCACTCTGCTTGTTCCACCTAGAGACTCACCACCGCGCTTGCAACATCCCAAAGTCGATCCGCAACGAAGCTTTATGATGCTCGGAAGGCATGAAGCGACTCGTCCTCCTCACCTGATCCCAGAACCGGGATGTGTGCAGCACTACAGCTGCCCCGATATGCGCTCTAGTGCTGAGTAGAGGTCACATGAGGTAAAAAGCGGGTAAAACGGTGAAGCAATGATTGAGCAAGTAGTTGGTATTCTTTGTGGGCTTGATTTCTGCACGCAGCCTCACGTTGGCCTTTGTCGGTTTGTTCCTTTGTTACTCATCATTGACCCCAACGGCAGAAGATATACACAAAGCAGGTACAGCGCAACATGTGCCGAAGACCCATATTTGATGCCATAGATATGGCAAACTGTATAGAAGTTGATGGAGACTCAAGATGCGAACTCTCAATAGCTAGATGTACCCTACGAAGTCTCCTCTTGACTACACTATAGCTTCGGAAGTCATAAAACACCTCATACGGCATCATGACAAAAGGACCACCGTACAAAACCGGGCAACCTTACTTTAATAGAACTTTCGAGACATGGTGTCGGACTAACCGACCAGGATGGTCAAGAGGTAAGCCTTCAAATATGGATATGCTGAGATGGTAGCTTACTCTATTAGACGATGTGAGATTGACCGCTCAGACTTTGTGGCATGGAGACATGGTCATTCAAAACTTCTTCCTCCGTAAGGTTGGGAAGAAGTTTAAGTATCCTATGCTGCAACAGCATCAGGTGCCAGCCGCACCATGGACCCAAAATGATGTAAACCTAGCAAGGGCAACTAGGCAGCTACCTGGTGCTGCGCCTCCTGTCATTGCAGCTCCTGTCATTGCAGCTCCTGTCATTGCAGCTCCTGTCATTGCAGCTCCTGTCATTGCAGCTCCTCTGGCAGCTCCTCTGGCAGCTCATCCGGCAGCTCCTCCAGTTCAACTCTACCCTTGCAGCTTTTGGCCCAACAGGCCGTGGCACGCAGATCCAGAAGACGCTTCTATCGGTCCGGAAATTACGATCGAGGCCATCAAGGATGACGTGTTTGAGGAGAGCCCTAGAGCAGACTGGATGGCTACAAAGCCATTCTTTTGGCCAATCCAAGATGAGCAAAATTGGGAGAACAAGAGGTTTCTCGGCGCTGGGGCCTCTGGCTGTGCGGGATTGTGGTGTCAAAGTGATGCCCAAGGTAACATATCAAGGGTATGTGACTTCAGGCATAGGATCATTACTCGGGTTTGAGAGAGCGTGCTGACAAAGAACAGCGGATGGTTATCAAGGAAGCGAGGCCTGACAAGATCCAATGGCGTGATCCTTGCTTTTGGCGAGATCAGTTGCCGTGCGAGATCCACATGCACCAGCTAGTCGACAACGGCCGCGTGGTATCTGATAGCGACGATGAGCCCGCTGGTTCTGATCATGAAACTCTGGTCAGACATCATGGTTACCGCTTGATGATGACCCAGCGGCGTTATCGCATCTTCTTCGACTACTATGAAGGCGGCGATCTTTGGCATGCTTTAGAAAAGCACTGCACCAGAATGAAGACATTCTATACCCAAGGCGAGGAACCAGGGCTTGATCATGACTGGGATGAGGAGTTCGGTTGCTACCGTGACTCAGAAGCGGTGCCCGGCGAGGCGGGATTGTGTGAGAAGATATCCGAAGGCCTTATCTGGAGAATTGCTAGCTCGCTTGTTCAAGCGTGTCAGATCCTGCATTTCGGCCAGGTCAGTATTGGAGGTGTGCAGAACACCACACCTGAGTGGAAACCGATCAAACACTGCGATATAAGACTTGACAACATCTTCATCAAGCCAGCGGCCGAGGAGAACGAGAACGAGAACGAGGTCTGTGAACAACCTCCGCAGGATACGTTGGAGATCGTGTGCGCTAACCGGCCCAGTACCCAACATTCGTCTTGGCAGACTTCGGCCTCTCGTTTACGGACATGGGTGCTCCTGCAACTGACAACCCATATGAGTATGTCAGGGAAATGACAGACGAACGATTTGCGCCTGTGAGTAACAAGGCTACAATCCGTATGTTTTTACAAAGTTAATTGGATGCAGGAACACCAGTTTGTAGTCAACGACGCAGCAGAAAGCGTTGGGGTAGTACCCCTAGACGAAAAGACAGATGTATGGCAAATGTACGTACACTACTATAGAATACCTGTTCGAATTTTACTAACTACAACCCTAGTGGTGCAGTACTTTACTCACTACTCAGCAATGGTTTCCACCCCCCTCTCGGCCAGGGGCCATGTCGCTCTGTCGAGAAACTTAACGCAACTGTACATTTCGCCGGCGAACATGGCGACTTGAGAACCATCGTCGACCCAGAGGATGACCCATGGAATGACATGTTTTTCTTTCCTACTTTCAAACGTTACAGCGAGGATCTGAAGCGATTGGCGTTCGAGTGTCTGGCATGGCATTCGAGTGAACGGCCGACGTTATTGGAGATGAGGCATAGGATCGATGATTTCCTTACGACGCACCCGGTGGTTGCGAATGATCGGAATATGGAGTCGCTAGAGGTCGTTCGAGATTTGGAATTCGCGATTGGGAAACCTATGAACTAGACGCGGCTTTAGTCTTGGCAGATCGATGCGCGACTTTGAAATCTGTACGCGCCCAAAGCTATGGCAACGGCTTCACAATATGCACTAACCTATCTGTAAATACGTGCTTGTATCCATGTCTTTGTCCTTCCGCATCAGCCATCTCCCGGCGTCGGCATAAGTGCCGCAACAGGAAGTTTGCATCTCTTTGTTCGGCCGTTGTAGTCCTGAACGCACCTTGCCGATGTAGCCTT